GTGGTTGGTCTCTGGTTTTTTTGCCTGCTACATATGACACTGTGCCCAGGATGCTGACACCCTTCTCACTTCCATCCATTGGCACCTCAATCAGTGGCCATTTTAACTTTTATTGAGGGGACTCTGCATTTCTCGATCTCCTTTTGACTCTACTCCTAGTAAACTTTGATTGCTAGTCTCCTTTGCCACATTTTCTGCTGAGATGCCTTGGTGGCTGCGAGCATTTTCATCACACGGTAATTCAATTAACAAATGTGATCTCCCTTTGTACGTATTCAGGCAAGGTTTTGAAGTTATTGTGTAAAATCCCTCCGTAGTTCTGCGAGTTCCAGCATCTCGAGAGTAGAAAATACGCCACAACTTATATAAACTTCTTTGCAAAAATAATGATGAACGGTTGCGATTAAATGTCAACATTTTTCTATCCAAGAGTTCAATGCTGCAGCACGGAGCCTAAACCAATTAGCCTCTTATTAATCACGTGTACGAGGATGGAAGCGGAAATGCCTTTCCTTCAACCTTTTCCCTCCATTTATCCCACGGTCTTTAGTAGTGGTATTTCCTAAGCTCTTCGCATCCAATATCCCTCCTGTTTTGAAGATTAATTACAACTTTACCTGCATCGAGGAGCTGATAACATCTCTCTCCGAGAGGATCTCAGAGAGTCGTTTCGTGCCGAGGACATTGCGCAGGGTGGTTTGAGCCAAAAGGCGGGTTGAGTGGTGTGCATTCTCCACATTAGCCACCGAGATCATTGCATCGAAAACTTTGTAGTAAATAACCGCATCCACCGAGACTGTCACCGAGTCTTTTGTTAGAATCTTTGAGTCAAAAATCATACAGTAGGTAGGTGAACAAATAAGACAGTGTAACATCTTGAGTGTTCTTATTCATAGATTTGTTTTGTAAATGCTGTTGAAGATATGCTTACAAACTGCAGGTATGTGTTGCAAAGATTGAAGATGGAGAAAAATGGTGGAAAACCTTTATATCACAGCTAACCAACTTAACGATTCTGTTCTATTAAACTACCATTAGATTAGCTTAATAACGTTTAAGAAGGGAAAAGATTTAAAAGTGCTACACAGTCGGCACGTAAATTTTGCCTAAATTCACTTTGAACAGGAAATGCGTTGAACATGCCCGATTTATGAGCATCCTCATGGATGCGAAGCTGCATCCAATTTGGGATACACCTCACCGCTATCAAAGGAACTGGCCAAATAAAAAGTGAGTGCATTTTATTACAACTTATAACCGAGTACACCACGGTAAAACCAGTTGTTGCACCTTTCTGAGACCGTTAATTCTAATTAGGGAGTGAATACTTCTGGTGAGTCGCAAGCAATGCAATCAAGTATGCTTTGTTTCTTAAGCATTCCTCCAAAAGGCTTCACCATCACAGCTATTAGTGTTAGTGCTGTGCGATGGAGCAAACTCAAGGCAACCCTTCATTTAGACGGCCGAAGACGACCCCCTTTTCTGCATTATTTTCGTAGAAATAATTAAGAAGGCTCGGCTGATACTGCAGTAGTAATTGCAAATCCTCAAAGACCTCCCTCTCCTCATCACCTCCAGCCA